TACAGTAAACACCAGAGACAAGGGAGAGAGAGACGGTTTTTTAAATAGCCAATTTAGTCAACAAAGTAAAATGCGCGTACCTGACAATGAAATTCAATGCAAATGTGTGTTGTGCGCATAACGTCACGTTGGCAACGTTGCAATACTTATTTACTCTAAACCGATCCTATATTTTTGCCTATCCTCACAATTTCTTTACTTCTGATTGCACTACAAGATTTCTGTTTAAATTTTCATTTAATATAATATTTGTAAGTACTTATTAATATTATGCATTTTACTTATACATAATATCACAAATCATCAAATTTGTTCATGTGTTTTTGTTGTCATTTTTAAACAAGTTAAAAGTACAACTATTTTTTTAGGTTTATGTGATAATCATAATTTATGGTTTCTGATAATAAACGTGTGTTAAGGGATGAACTTATGTTAACGAATGAACTTGCATTAAAGAAGGTATGGAAGGTTATAGTAATAAAAAAGAATAAAGAAGGTACGAAAGGTTATGGTGGATGTTCTGTGGTTGATGGTAATGAATGTATGTTAAAGAATGAACTTGTGTTAAAGAATGAACTTGGTTGTGTTGAATTATCGATAAAGAAGGTATAAAAGGTTATGAAAGGTGAAAATGGGTTAGTTAAATACTTTTTTTATGTAGTTTTAAGTATTAATTAAATGTGATAAGTATGTAAGTTGTAAAACATATCTAAAATGACAACCATTGCAAAATATAAGTGTCTTTATCCACTTTGCAATAGCAAATATTTTGTTAATGGAAAAAAACATTTTTTCATGTTTACGTCAGACGAGGAACGGTGTAAAACTTGGTTCCAAAACATGAACAAATGTATTATAAACGAAATAGAATATTCAACTACTCGACTTTATTTATGTGAAGATCAATTTACTGGTGCATGTTTTACTAGCAGTTTTCATAACAGACTAATTAAATTTGCTGTTCCTACAATTTTTAAAAAAGAAATACGTATTATTTCAAATATTTTACTTTCACATAATTGTAAATATACGTTTTCATCCACAGTTAATGACCACAAATATTAAAAAAAAAATGATACTACACCTACTTTTGAACAACCAGATGCTGATGACACTATTTCTAATTTTTCATTAATTACCCCTAAAAGTCATTTATCAACTCCGCCTCAACAAACATTTCCAAAAAACGCAACATCAAAAGTTAGAAAACGCTTATTTACTAATGAAAAAATGTCTGCATTTACTCCAAGAAAAAAAAATTATATTCATTTTATCGAAATAGCCTGTCTTCTATATGCAAATTAAAATCCAAACTACAGTCATCTAAAAATAAAATTAAAGATTTAACAAATATTAATAAATCAGAACTGTTTCTAAATTTAGAAAAAAATATTGATCCAGCAGGAGTTGAGTTTATTCGAGCCCAATTTAGAAATATTAATAGAAAAAGACCTATTTGGAATCTTGAGAATAAATTATTTTCTCTTATTTTATATAACAAGGGGCCAAGAAGCTATCGTTTTTTACAAAATTTCGTTAGACTTCCTTCAAAAACAACTATAGCAAAATTGTTAAATAGAGTACCATTTAATGCAGGATTAAATGAAAATTATCTAAACCGTATTAGAGATTTAATTAAAACATTAGAGCCCTTAGATAAATGGTGTTCTATTACTTGGGATGAAATATCATTATCAAAATCACTTGTATTTGACTCTTCTTTAAATAGGTTTGTAGGTTGTGTTGATAAAGGCTCTCTAGGTAGAGAAAATATATTGGCAGATCATGCATTGCTGTTTATGGTTCAAGGATTAAGGAGAAAGTGGAAACAACCTATATCTTTTTACTTTGTTAAAAACACTATTAATTCTTCTGACCTGAAATATTTAGTAAAGGAAGTAATAACAAAATTGCAATCTATAGGTTTAAAGGTAAAATCAACTATATGTGATCAGGGACCAACCAATATTTCTGCATTGCGTGAATTGTCTCAAAATGAGCATTTTTTATGTTAATTCCCAACAAATTTTTATTTTTTATGATCCCCCTCATTTATTGAAATCCACTAGAAATACATTGTATAATTATAATATTTTATTTTCCGACCATAAAGTGGCTAAATTCGAACATATTCAACGAGCTTTTGATATTGATCAAACAAAAAGATTTCAATCGTTACGAAAATTAAAAAGAGCTTATTTGTGTGAACTGGAAAAAAGTCCACTCTTAAAAATGAAGGTATCTGTGGCAGCAAAAACACCAAGTCACACAGTTGCTGCCACACTCGAATCTCTATATACAGATACCAATTTTCTAAGAAGCGAAGCTATGTTTACAGCGGAATTTGTTTCAGATGTAAAAATATTTGTTTGATTCTTTTAATGGTGACTCTTTATATCCGCAGAATGGTATTCCTTTAAGATGCGCAATTTCTAAGAGTAGTTCACATCTAAAATTTTGGAATGATATAGAAGGAAAATTTCATCCTGGAAATTTTTTAAAAAGAGTGACAGTCAACCTAAAAAATTTCTGAATTATTTTTCATTTAAACAAGGGTGGCTGATAAATATTAAATCAATTAAAGCCTTATGGTCTGATTGTTATCAAGCAGGATTTAAGTTTCTTAGAACTAGAGCCTTAAATCAAGATGCCCTGGAAAATATTTTTTGCAACATTAGACAACACGGTGCAGGAAATATTTATCCTGACTGTTATCAATTTAAATGTGAACTTAAAACAAGTTTGCTTAACAATTTAGTTAAGAACAAAATTGTGGGAAAAAACTGTGAAGATGACGACTTTTCACTTTTAGACAATTTACAAAAATTTCTGATAGGGGAAGCTGTAAATAGAGATCTGCCTAATAATTTTGAAATTATACCTTTTTATAAAGATTCTCAAAATAAAATTGAAGAGGCAAATTTGGATAGCCAAGCGACAGCATATGTATGTGGATTTATATTAAAAAATATTAAAATGTCCTGTGATATTTGCAATGGTTGTTTATTTTCAGATAAGTTTGAAAGTCACCACTCATTTGTAAATTTTAAAGAATATGACAATAAAAAAAGACTTATTTTTGTAACAAAAAATTTAGTCCTTTATGTTACTGAAGTTATTTTAATCACATTCTTAATTATAATATTAAGTCTAATTATGTAAAAGAAAATGTAATAAAATACTTAGCGTGATTTTTCGTGGTTTAACTGTAGTGAGCATAGTGCAAATGTAAAACAAATGCTATTAACTCATGTTTGGTTTATTCTTAAAAAAAAAATTTGGTGAAGATTTAAAAAGAAAAATTGACATTGAAAAACAAAAAAAAAGATATGATACTAAAAGAAGAAAAATGGGAATTTCTTAAAAAATAAGACTGTTTTTTATAAACTAATGTGTTTTGTTATTTTTTTAGTTATGTTTTATTTATTTATGTTGTTATGTTATGTTATTTATTTATTATAAGAAAGACGATTATGTTTTTAAAGTATATTTTAGTTGTTTTTTTCTTTGTTTTTTTGTATTTAAAAGAAGTGTTGAAATAATGAAAATGTGAATTTCTTAAAAAATAAGACTGTTTTTTATAAACTAATGTGTTTTGATATTTTTTTAAATTATGTTTTTTTAAAAATATTTTACTTTAACGTTTTTTTGTTGTTGTTATATGTATTCAAAATTAAATAAATATTTGTATAATTTATAACTTGACTTTTATTACAAGAAAAAAATTAATATTAAAATTAAAAACATAGGTACTTTTAAATATCCCGCCAAATCATCAATTGTTTTAGTGATAACGTAATTATTTGGTGTGAAATCTACAGCCGTTCTTTTTGGTGTACAGAATACACCACGCGAGTTATGTAAGTAAAAAATATACAGGGTGTCCGGGAAAAGGAGGTCAATCCGTAAACCATATATTCCTTGAGTTAAAACAATAAGACCTTCATAATACCATTTTTCAATTTAGAGCTTCGTGTTCGATATACAGGGCGACAAAGTTTGAAATTTAAAACTGATTTTTTTTTAATAATTCGAGTAATTGATAAGATATTAAGTTTAAATTCGGTACACTACTTCAACATAAATAGTTAAATTTTTTGAGACCAACAAAACAAAAAACAATTGTTAAATAATCAAAATAGGGGGTCCAGTACTCACTGACTCCCCCTATTTTTTAGTACGTGCGCCAATGACTTCCAAACGGTATTTTTTCAGGTAATCATTTATTGTTAAAAAAAATTTGTCTCTTATAAAATTTTGATAAAATGATTTGTTTTAGAGATAATTTGTAAAGTATGGGTCAGTCCATATCAAATCAACCAAAGGTTCTTCCCCCACCATCTCCGATTTTGATCATTTTTGGTAAATTTGTTTACCTCACTAAAAAACTCAAAAATCCCAAATATGAATTTTTTTCGATAGGTGGTTTTTGTTTTATTGATTTTTGAAAATCAAAAAATTCCGATAAATTTGGGTCTTGCAAGTACTTACAAAAATAGCGATATCTCGTAAACTATTAAAAGTAGAAAGGTGAGTGATGGCTTATTTTAAAGGCCTATTAGAGAACTTTTTTATGATACATCCACTGAACTATACAACCACATGGAAGGCCACTCACATAGGCTGCGCGAGAAAATTTTACGCCAAATAGAAGAAATCCTTAAGGGTCAGATTCGCAAAGCCGTATCTCCCCACGCATGCGCAAATAGTGGTAAACAACAAAAATTGTAACGGTTTTTTCATAACCTTATTTGTTCTATGCCGTATATGCTATTCGTATTTATGTTTATTTCGATTATCTTTTGTGCTTATCCTTATTTTGTGAAAATGTCGTCAAGGAAGACCCATCTAACAAGGAAGTGTTTTGTGTGGTGTTGCACTAATCGAACTGAAATATCTGAAGGTCTACATTTCTTTAGGTAATGTTTAACCAAATAACATTATACATATGTATATATATATATATATTATGTATTAATAATAATTAGTTATCTTTACAGAATGACAAATACAAGAGCTTCATTGTGGTTGCCAGCTTTAGGTAGAGATCCTAAGGAAGTTACGGGGACTGCCAATGTAGTGTGCTCTCTGCATTTTAGAAATGAAGATATCATACAAAGGGGCTCCTTAAAGACTTTAAAAAGAGGTGCTGTACCAACCCTTTTCCTAGGTTCTACTGGGATTAAAGATGCCAGGTAATTATATTTAGTTTTTTAGTTCTGTTTAATAAAATTACTCAATTATAAGCCAAACTCCTGTAATGTTGGGTCACTTTGAGAAAATAAGTAGTTTCTTACGTTTTACTATTTTTATTGGTTTTAATCATTATCGTACAAAAGTTACTTATCGACTATATAATATCACAATTGAAACCTATATCTAATTAACATAATAATTGCAATTCTGCAATTCGGATCGCAGTCCGGTCAATGCATTGTAATTGAGGAAATGTAATTACACAATAAGCATTAAAATAGCTAATAAATATATTAATATATATAAAAGGGATAAATAGATATTTTACGAAGTTCGTACATTACACCTCCCAAGGGAAAAAGAAAAAAAAATGTATTTACAAATTTTTTTTTCCTTATTCATAAAATTTCTTAATTCTATTCTTATGAACTACCACTGACTTATTATCTACCTTAATAACTATATTCGTGTCCTGATCACTTTCCACTAAGTATGGTCCCTTATATAGCACTTCTTGTTTATTGTTCACTGCACAATTTTTTAACAATATTTTTTCACCTTTCTTATAACTAACATTTTTACAATTATTTTTTACATTAAAGTTGGAATGTCTATTTTCTTTTGATTTAATAAGATTATCCCTAGCATCGCTATTTGCTTTTTGCAGTCTATATTTTAATTCTAGGGGGTAGTTATCAAAACTATACAATGGATCAATTTTCATACTTAAATAAGATGGTAACCTACCGATTTTCCCAAAAACTAATTCAAAAGGAGTATACTTGGTTTCTGTATGAACAGTGTTATTATAAGCAAAACACCAATATGGTATCCAAGAACTCCAATTACTTTGATTATTTAATGTTTGAATTCGCAAAAAGGACCCTACATTTTTATGGGAATTTTCTAAAGCACCCAGCGTTTCGTGGTGGTATGCTGTAGATTTCAAGGACTTAACTTTAAGTAAACTACACGTTTCTTGAAAAATAGATGCTAAAAATTAGTACCTTGGTCAGTAAGAACCTCTTCAGGAATTCCATATCTTAAAATAAAATTTTCTACAAAAGCTTTAGCAACTTAGGTATGGGATAACATTCCACAAATTTGCTTAAATCGCATTGTAACGTTAGTATATATTGATTATTATCATTATCTATTTTTAAAGGTCCAACTAAATCTAACAAAACCTTTTGAAATGCTGACATTGCAGTTGTGGTTATAGTCATAGGTTGTTTATTTGTTACAGAGTGTTTACATTTTTGACAGTCGTTGCAACGTTGAACAAAATGTTCTATATCTTTTCGTAACCCTTGCCAAAAATAGTTTCTCTTTACATTATTAAACATTCGATTTATTCCAGCATGTCCACCCGTCGGCAACATGTGGAAATCATTTAGGATTAATTGTTTCGTCTCATAGTCGTTAATTTTTTAAACATCTTTTATAATACAGATTTTTAAACTAATATTTTTAACTTTATTAGAAGCTCCCATAATTTGTTTTATTATACGCGCGTTTTTACTATTTTTAACAATTAACAGTTCAGCAAAATTAAATTTGTCATAAATAGACTTGAGGTCTCTCAACGATGCACTTAATGCGGACGTTGACCGAGAATCATCTTTCAAGTATACAATATTTTCATTCTTGTTAAAATATATATTCTTGTTAAAATATATAATATCCGGAATTATAAAATTTATTGTTATCATCATTTAGCAGTTTATTTAACATATTTTTACTTATAGTTTGCATTTCTACGTAATATTTAGGAGGCTTCAAAAGTTCCACAACCCCGGGTTGATCAATCCCTTCATTATGTAACTCCTGTGATTCCTCAGAAATATTCGCATTTGATTGCGCTCTTGTAATAACATTAACCGATTTCTGAACCATTGTTTTTAACTCATCGGAACTTAGTTTTATTCGTGATAATGCATCTGCAGTTACATTTTCACTACCTTTTACATAACTAACCGTAAAATCGTATTCTTCTAAAATTAGTCTAAATTTCGTTAATCTGCTAGATGGATTTGTCATACCAAACACGTAGACTAAAGGTCTATGGTCGGTGTATACTAAAAATTTTCTACCAAACAAATATGGTCTAAATCTTTTAACTGCCCAAACGATCGCCAACAATTCTTTCTCTATAGTACAGTAATTTTTTTCTGCTTTGTTAAGGGCTCGGCTTGCATAAGCGACAGGTTTATCGTCGAAATTCGATAAAACTGCCCCTACTGCATATCCCGACGCATCAGTTCTTAAAATAAACAAGTTATTTTCTGAAAAATTCAGATATTGAAGAATTGGAGGACTTATGAGAATTTGTTTTAATTTATCGAAACTTCTTTGACATTCATTAGACCAGTTAAATGAAACGTTTTTCCTTGTAAGTTGATTTAACGGAGCAGAGATTTCAGCAAAATTTTTAATAAACTTCCTGTAATAATTGGCAAATGCAACAAATCTTTTAGTTTCATTTGCATCTTTCGGTTTAGGGTAATTCTGCATTATTTTAATTTTATCTGGATCTGGTGAAATGCCTTCTGACGAAATAACGTGGCCCAAGTATAAAATTTCTTTTTTTAAATAATTACATTTGCTAGGATTTAATTTAAGGTTAACTTTCCTAAGTCTCTCAAAAACCCTGGTTAAATTTTTATTGTGATTAATTAAATTATTTCCAAAAACAATTAAATCGTCAAGATAAATGAAACAATTTTCATAGTTTAATCCAGACATAGCAATTGTCATTGCTCTTGAAAATACATTTGGACTTGTTTTAAGGCCCATAGGCGTTCTAGTCATTTGAAATTGACCTTTGTCTGTTGTAAAAGCTGTATAAGGCCTAGATTTAATATCTAATTCTAACTGATAATAACCCTGATATAAATCTAAATGAGAAAAATATATTGCACCCGAGAGTGAATCTAAAATTTCCTCGATTGAGGGTAGTGGAAACTTATCATTTTTTATTCTCTTATTTAACTGTCGATAATCTATAACTAATCTAAACCGTTTTGTACCCTCGCTATCTGTTTTCTTCGGCACTAATAAGAGTGGTGCGGACCATTCTGACCTTGCCGGTTCTATTATTCCCTTAGCTAACATTTGATTTACTTGGTTGTTTATTTCTTGTTTTTGTGAATGAGGTAACCTGTAAGGTTTAATATATGACGGAGTAACACCCTCTTGAAGTATAATATTCTGCTTGTATACATTAGTTGTAGATAGCGTGTCGTTTTCTATAAAAAAAATATCTGCATATTTGGCACAAATTTTTTGCACTGCCTCACATTCTTCGCCACTCATACCTTTTGTGTCAATTAATTTTAATAAATTTTCAACTCTATGTACTGATTTGCTGGTAGTATTAAAATTCCTAATTTCAAATTTATTTAAAAGTTCTGTTTTTGGAGTGAAGTTTTTTACTTGAATTTCTCTTTCACTTGTATTTAAAAACTTTACCGGAATTAAGCCCTTTTCTGGTTTTCCTATCGTACCAGCTAAAAAGACTCCCTCGCAAACTTCTTGTGGCAAGACAACGCATTCATACATTTCATTCGTTCTTAAATATCTTATAACTTCACATCTAGGGGGTAAAAATGTGTAATAATTATTTTTTGAATTAAGAGGTAGAGAAAATTTAACATTTTTGTTCCAAAATGAGAAAATATACTTTTCAAAATCGATTACTGCATGAAATATTTCAAAGAAGTCTGCTCCGATTACGCCCTGTATACTAGAATCGAACTCGTCGACTATTAAAAATTCATGATTTACAATTGTTTCTCCTAATTTAAAATTAATGTTTACTGCACCTTTTGAAAAAGCTGAACCCGCAATACCATTTATCCTTATATTTTTGTTAAAATCTATACATTCATTCTGATTTAAAGACCCGGGAAAAATTACACTAACAGATGCACCTGTGTCTAATAAAAATACTAAATCTTTCATTCCATATCCCACTCGTACAAAGTTTAATCCATTAATATTAAAATTTACATGATTACTACTGGGGGGCTCGAAAAAATGGTCTTGTCGACTCAGTACTAGTTCCGCTGTTTTGGTAATTTTGAGAGTCGTTTAAAAAATATCCCTTTTGTGGTCCACGGAAATTGTTTCCGCGACCCCGGTTTTGGAACGACCTATGAAAATTATTGCTATGATTGTTACCCCGACTGTTGCTGTAATTACCTTTATTAAAATTATTACGATGCCCGGTATAAAAGGTTTTATTTTTATTATAGTTGGATCTTTGCATAGAAAAATTACGTGTGTTGTTATTTTGTCTTAAATTGGAATCCCGAAAGTTGCTATACTTTCTCATACTAAATATTGACGCAGATGAGCGTTTAGCACTATCTTCATCTTTGGCCGCAGCTATTGCATCTGGTAAGGAACCAAAATTACGCGCTTTAATAAGAAATTTTAAATCACTATCGCGTAGCCCGTTAGCAAAAGCATTTATAGCAATTTTTTCGTTTGTATTTGTAAGTGTCTTTGCTAATTCATCTTTCCCATCAGCCTGAGATAATGTTAAATTAACCATTAAATCCTCAATAGTTTTACCAAAGTCTTCTACAGATTTTTGTAATTGTTTTGCATTATGCAACTCTATAGAAAGCGCTGCAGCAGATTTTTTAGAAATGAAATGTAATTTTATATCACAAACAAGAGCCTCGGTTGACCCATATTCTGATTTTAATCTTAACCTTGCTGACGCCGTAAGTTTTGTTTTTAAAACGTACTTAATTAACATTACTTTTCCCTCGTCATTTAATAATTCAGAATATAATTCAATACCGTTAATTAATTGTTGTGTGCCGGTTTCGCTATTTTTCTCCCATTTTAACTAAATTTACAACGCTATTATTATCTAACCTATCTATAAGAATTTCGTTTATATTGTTTTTTAAATTTTTTATTCTACTTATTAAATCATTTAATAATTCGTCTCCCGCTATTTTTGTCTTCCCTACTAATAATTCAAATTCATTTGATATTCGAGTGAGCTTAGCAAGATTTTTATCAATTACCGCTAAATTTAGACGCCTATCTTCGTTTTCTTTTTTAATATTTCTTAAAAATACTCCTAGTTCCTCAAAAATGTAATTAAAATCCTCTAACTTATTCATTTAACTCTAACCCCATCTAACTTAATTACAAAAATTGATATAATATATAATAATACTTATAAAATAATAAAATAATAAAAAAAATCTAACTTAATAATTAACAACCAAAATAATAATTAACAAACGAAACATTTTTGAATACCGCACAATTGTTAACTTGCTCCACGTACCTTACACATTACTCTTCGGCTCTCTGCTGCGAAGAACCTCTTGCCTGATCCTCTTGTCCATGTACCTTTTTGACCGCCTTCTTATGTAAAGTCCCACGATGAACATGATGGTAAGGACTGCTATTATGATTAGTACCTCATAGATGCTGAACTTGCTGTCTCCCAAGGAATTTGAAACTCCACCACTGTTACCAGCCTGGCTTATTATGATTTCATCTTTTTCTATTTTTGATCTGCACATCTCTTTTGATTTTAATACGGCAATATTATAATTCGTTGTTTTTCTTCCTCTGAACTGGCAGGATCGCCATGTAATGTTGGGTCACTCTGAGTAAATAAGTAGTTTCTTACGTTTTACTATTTTTATTGGTTTTAATCATTATCGTACAAAAGTTACTTATCGACTATATAATATCACAATTGAAACCTATATCTAATTAACATAATAATTGCAATTCTGCAATTCGGATCGCAGTCCGGTCAATGCATTGTAATTGAGGAAATGTACGAATTAAGTAATTACACAATAAGCATTAAAATAGCTAATAAATATATTAATATATATAAAAGGGATAAATAGATATTTTACGAAGTTCGTACATTACACTCCGTTATTAATGCTGTTTCCTATTGTTTGAAGACATATTAATTAAAATGGTTTTTGTCTAATTTCAGTGACTTGTCAATGCCTGTGGTAAAAAAGACTGTAAATTTTCAATCAGAAGTTACATATATTGAAAACACTGCCACCACTTACCTTAATTTGCCATCAGGATCTGCAAGTCCTGATAATTCAAGGTAAAATATTATAATTTTGCTTTAAGTAGGTATGTACTTTAAACTTAACTTTATATTTTTTAGCAAAACTAGTAGTAAAAGCTCTAGTTCCTCAAAAAAAAGGAAACTACCCTCATCAACTGATAGTGAAGGTCTAAGAGGTTCACCAAAAAAAAGGAGGAGAATCCTTAGAACATATCATAATTACAAGTATGTATAAAACATCCATATTCATAATTAAGCCAATTAAAAGCCAATGTCGACATTTAAAAAATACAAAAATCTGGGATATTTTAGGGACTTGTTTTACTAAAAAATCAAACTTTACTCGCAGATAGAGGGTATTTATCCCTTTTTTAGTTAACATTTTTAAATTATTATTATTATTTTTAATTGTTATCGTTTTAAATATTAGTTTAAATTAAATTTATTGTATATTATAAATTTTATTACTACGGTAAATATAATAATAATTAATTTAGATTATTAATGTAAAAAAACATTGTTTAAAACACTGCTGCTTTTTTAATCTTTAACACATTATAATTTAAAAAATAATCTCTTTGAAAAAGTAAAAAAGATGTGTGTTTATATTAGTGTATTTGTTTTCTTTTAAACATATAATTTTTTATATGTTATGTATTATTTTAGTTTATCCCCAAGAAAAATAAATGCTAAATTAAGAAATGTAAGAGCAGAGAAAAATAAAGTTAGTAAAAAGGCCAAAAATTCAGCAGAGAGAATAAAAAGAATGACAAACAAAATTTGTGGTATGAAGGATGTTATTAACCAGTTAAGAAAACAAAAGTTTATTTCAGATGATGCTCTGGAAGTTATTCAGAAATTATCCCTAGATATTCCTTTTTTACTCATAAAATGACATGTCAATAATTCCAAGAAAGGCAAAATTACAAGGGAACAGTTTCCAGAGGAGCTAAGAAAGTTTGCAATGACATTACAGTTTTATTCATCAAAAGCATATAGTTATGTGAGGCAAACATTTAATTTAGCACTACCATCACCCTCAACAATGAGAAGTTGGATGTGAACCAGGTTTTTGTCAATCAGCATTTGATACATTAAAGCAAAAAGTTTATGATGATCAACAGACTGGCATAAAAACTATTTGTAATCTGGTGTTGGATGAAATGGCAATAAAGAAGCAAATTGACTATGTTTCTGGTCAAACCTGGGGCTATGTTGATTTGGGTACAAATATACAGGATGACACAATGAGTTGTGCAACAGAAGCCTTGGTTTTAATGGTAGTTTCCTTAAATTCTCATTGGAAACTTCCAATTGCCTATTTTTTTTATTAAATCGCTCACAAGTATGGAAAAGGCAAATATAGTAACAACCGCTCTGCAGATGCTTCATGAAGTAGGTGTGATTATCACATCTCTTACTTGTGATGGACCAAGTGCCCATTTTAGCATGGCACAAAAACTGGGAGCTGAAATCAGTGACATTGATAATTTAAAGCCATACTTTAAGCACCCATGCAATGAAACCATTCTAAATATAATTTTTGATGCCTGTCACATGGTTAAATTGTTGAGGAATAATTGGGGAAGCTGGGAAAAATTTTTGATGGGGATGGAAATTTAATAGATTTTAACCTTATTAAAGAACTATACAATGTTCAAAGGCAGAAATGTTTCGGTTTGGAAACAAATTGAAATTGGCACATTTGGAATGGCAGAAGCAAAAAATGAAGGTATGATTTTTATATAGCAATTATTTTAAAGGTATTGGTATATTTAAGAGTATCAAATGGAATAAATGCTTAAAATAAGTAACTGATTCAAAGAAGATAAACAAATTCATAATAACTTAATAGTTAATTTAATAAACTTGTAATAAATAAATCTAGTAATATAGTGATAATTTTACAGGTTAATTTAGCTGCCCAGACCCTAAGTACTAGTGTGGCTGATGCACTTGAGTTTTTAATGCTTGACATTAAACATCCCAGCTTCCAACATGCAGCAGCAACAATTAAATTTATACGATATGCAGATAGACTTTTTGATCTGTGTAATTCTCGAAATCCATTTGGTAGGGGGTGCCACACTCCCTTTAAAGTGCCAAATGAGATATATTGGAGACCCATACTGGAAGAAAGTTTGGATTACCTTAAAAACCTTACAAATGAAGTTAACACTCTGTTTTTAACAAAAAATAAGACGCCAGTAAAAGGTTTTATTATTACAGGCATGTCACTTTTAAAAATTTATGAGGATTATGTTAAAGCAGATGGGGCTCCTTTAAAATATCTTCTTACATATAAGTTAAGTCAAGACCACCTTGAGCTTTTTTTTTGTAACGTAAGGTAATGATTTTTGTATTTTTTTTAATTAGAAAAATTAAACTTAATTATTTTAGGTTTCGAAATGGATTTAACAACAACCCTACTGCATTTCAATTTTATCATTCTTTTAAAAGGCTATTAATGAACCATGATATAAAAAGTTTCAATGGTAATTGTACCATGCAAGATGCCACAAATATTTTAAAGGTATCAAGTAATAAACAAACTGTAAAAAATAATATAACAGCAGAAGATATTTTAATGTTTAAAAAATATAATATATCTTATGATATTGAGCAGGATCATGATTATATAATCCCTAATTTTCCAAGCATGACCATCTTATCAAAAAATGTAGTGGTGTACATAGTTATGAACGCATCCTAAGCTAGTAAATTGTATAGTCTGCAGATCTCAGAGAGTCTTGTGTCATTTCTTGGAAAGCTCATGTTAGATAAAATTAAGTTATCAATATATGTAAAACACAATAATGTAACATTCTGATTCTTGCTTCTGTATAATAAATATCATCTTATGTTTTAAGTTGAAAATAAAGTTTTTAAAAACAGACTTTTTAATTTGAAAAACTTAAGTGGCGCAGTCGTAACGGATAAGTGTAGTTTTTCCAAAATCGTACCGATTGTAACGTGTTTTTGGACTAATTGTGAGTTTCAACTCTTTGACACTTGAACCAACTTCCCGGCCTTTCTCCAAGTGTTTGGTACATCGCAGAGGACCGCCGACGACAAAATCTATCCCTGGCCTTTCTCCAAGTGTTTGGTACACCGTAGAGGACCGCCTTCAATAGACCAGGCCTTTCTCAAAGACATTGAGGACCGCCGAAAACCATTTGTGCAGACCCAAAGACAGGATCACCGAAGGAGTTTCTACGTAAGTCCAAGTTCCTTCACCTCCTACTTTTCTCCGTATAAGAAATTTAGGTTATTTTTAAGTTATTTTTAGGAATCAAATTTAAAGATTAAACCATATAAAATTTTATAAAATATAAATTCTAATTTATTTTAAGTCTATGACAGACAACGAATTAGACGATTTAAGTAATTTATTTTTAAATTCATTAAGAGTAAACGATACAAACGAAACAATGACTACCCGAACAGTAGATTCAGTTAGCTTAAATATGCTTAAAATGTTTGTCGACACTATCCCTCGTTTTGATGGTGAGGTCAACAATTTAAATAATTTTATTTCTGCCGGACAATTTTTGTTCGACACATACGGCGATACCGAAGACGCCAATTTAAAAAAATATTTAATTCGCGCAATCCAAACTAAATTAATTGATAGAGCACAAATTTTAGTTGGCTCTCGTTCCGAACTTAATACTTGGAAAGACATTAAAAACGCTTTACAAACTTGTTTTGGTGACAATCGTAATATAGAATGCTTAGAACAGGACTTGTTTATGGCAAGACCCTTTAAAAATGAATCCCTCCTTGACTTTGGTAAAAGATTACAAGTTTTACGAAGTAATCTCGCTCAAAAAATTAGTTTACAAAATATTGACGCAGCTTCAAAGAAAATTTATATAGAAAATTATGACAAACTCACTTTAAGAACATATATTCGTGGGCTATCACCCCAAATTCAATGTATTATTAGACTTAAAAACCCCACTTCTCTAGAAGAAGCATTAACATACATAACTGAGGAAGAAAACTTCCAATATACTCAAAATCTATTTAAAGCCCCTCCGACACATAACGTAAGACCGACATTTTCTCATAACCCACAACATAAACAAAATAATCATGCCCCAAATAATCATGCCCAAAATAATCAATTTTATTCGCAACCCAAATATCATTATAATAATCCTAATAATTACAAATTCAATCAAAATTATCATCAAGCTAACCATTTCCCAAGAAACTTTCCAGCATTACAAGCCCCAAATTCTTCAGGATTCCCCAGCCAACCAATTCCCATTCAACCACGTCAAGTACCCCAAAGATTCTTTTCCAATAACCAAGTCTTTGGTCCCCCAAAAGATGTTTTTAAACCAACCGGTGTAACTCCAAATTATAAACCCGAACCAATGTCCACCAGAACCTCATATACCTTACCTACCTCAAAGAGAACTAACTTTTCCCAGAATAATTTTAAACCATCCGGACCCCGAAACTTTAGGGCAGAAGAACTTTTTAATATAGAAGAAAATTCTCCCCAAATAACTGAAATCCCGAAATTTATACAGAACAAGAATCTTACTATCAAAATAATTACGACATATCAGAAAATTACGAATGTAACTTAGCAGATTCAGATAACACTCAAAATTTTCAGACGGACCATTCGAAAACCAACCTTACATAGTTTCCGAAATGCACACTGAAATTAACAATAGTTTACCGTACATTAAAATACAAAATCCCCCAATGAAATTACTAATCGATACAGGCTGTTATAATTCTATCCTTAAACCCTCGTTAGCTCAAAAATATTTTCCTCAAACAATTTACCATTCACCCTCTCAAATAAAAACTGGTGTAGGTGAAAAAGAAGTTAGATTTAAAGCTGACATTCCCGCTATGCCAGAACTTTGCAGTAACAGTAACATAACATTTATTCTTTTCGACTTTCACAATTTCTTCGACGGTATTATCGGACTTAAAGAATTAATAAATCTAAAATTTACAATTGACTTAATTAACAAACAACTAATAAATCACCGAACACGAATCCCAATATTTTATAGAAACCCAAAATTAGAAAGATATAAAATAAGTCTTAACACCTTAGAAGTAGCCTCGGTAAAAATTCCAGTTTCCACCCCTAATGACGACATAATTATTCCCGAACAAAATATTAACGATTTTCTTTTACCGACAAATGACGAAATTGTAACACTTGAAGATCTTGACGACTTAAACGAAAT